AATCTCCTGCCTTCCCCCATGTTTCATGATGACATAACACAGTCATACTCAGACTCTTCTAAACCAAACCAATAAGCAGAATACATGTTGACATTGTACAAATATGCAGACCACACATATATAACGTTTGTCTATTATTATGTTGAAGTTTCATGTTTCTTTACATTTTAACAATGCTGTGGTTGATATGTGGTTATGTTTAGGCACACAAAACACTTGCCTATGGTTCGGAGAAAATCATGTTTTGGCTTAATACCTGGTTTTGGCTGCACAATTGTTGCATTTTGTTGCGTGTTGGTCTCAAACAGTGATTTCCAAAGGTCTCAGTTTGGCAGCTCGCTTGGGCATCACCCCATCCACCATCCCCTCCACCTCCTAATGACAGTGTCAATCCCTATACATCAGAATTTAGAAACATTGTTATTATATGCATGAAATGTATAACTGAAATATATCTGTGGTTTGCAGGACTGTCAGTGCTAGTATTTTCCTCTGGTGACTGGGCTGGTGACAGGAAGTTGCTTGTGAAGAAAAAAGCTGATGTTTTGTCTGGTTGAGGACAGTTTCTGGCAATGTACCTAATCAAGGCAATTCTTTTAAGCAGTTTTTGATGACGTAAATTTGCAGCATCAGTACCACACAACAATGAGGATAATTTCAAGTTTCCACAATTGTGATGTTAGTGCACAAACTGTCAGACGGTGTCTGAGTCTGTCAGCGTAGGAGGAACATAAAAATATAAATATAACTGCTTATCTTCTTCTCCCAGGAGAAAACTCACCTGTCATCTTTATTTCAGCACAACAGCTTTTTTTTTCTTTAATCCTCCACCGGATGCTCTCATTGCTAAATTGGCAGCAGGTGGGGAGAGATACATGTAGCGGCAATTTAACCAATTACAATAATGATGGGTGAGGGCTGTGTCTCATTTCCCAATGTAATGGGCTAAAGTGAACACACCTCATCAAACACACTGCATACCAATGGCACACCTGTACAGTTGAGTTTGTGTGTGTGTGTGTGTTCAGGGTTCAGCCTCAGGAGCAGGGGAGGTTTGTACTGTTGAGTGTATTGTTGGGGATTCCTATTTATTCCAGTTATGGTTGCCATGGGAACCACTGGCTAAAGGCTAAAGTCAGCTACGCCCTTGGCCCCCTCAGAGATTAATGGTCCATTCAGTCCACTACTGTTCGATTTATGTCCCCTTCTCCCTTCACATCAATATAGGCACAGCTCTCTTTACGGTCTTCACAGTTAGATTAATGTAGCCTTCAGCCCTCACTATCAGCATCAAGGATCTGGGCTTTGCTGCAGTCTGGCGTTTGCAAAAAAAAATGGACAATGAAATCTTCTCAACTGAGACTCAAGTGGTGAGATCTGACTCTGCACTACTACATACTGCTTCCAGGAAATAGCCCCCACACTTAACGAAATGAAAAGTATTAAAAAATGGAAGCACAACACCCTTAAACACCACTGCAATCTAACTTGTATGCCGAATGACAAATGTTAGTTTGGTTTAATTTTCAAAACTAAGCCTATTTTTTAAGCCTCTGCTTGAAAATTGCATACCCAAAATGAAATGAATATATCTCTGCAACCACAAGGTCTATTTGAATACTTTTGGTGTCATGGTAAAGGGAACACTTGTGAGATGTGTTAAGATGTGTAAATATCAGTATATGTGTTATATGTGAAGAGTAAATGAAGATGGCACACAGCACAAATGAAACATTTTGAGGTTCGCCTAAAAAAAAAGCATTTTCAGGATGAGTATCCCTTTGGAATGATGCAGCTGCAGCTCTAAACCTCTATCACATCATAGTACAATATGTGAAAAGAAAATTCAAATTTCAAAGAAAATTCAGGCGAGCTCTCCAAAATTGCACCATATTTGCATGTGATTTTTGTCATGTATAATCCTATTTCTTTCATTTTTTGTTTCTGTAAATCCCTAATGATGTTTAGGGTATACACATACAACTGTCCGTTTCATTTTTTTCTTCCATTTCCCACTCCAAACTGACCAATACACACCTACTACATTTGAAACTGAGTTTCTATTCTGAGATTTGGAGGCCTGTATCTCCGTGACGGCTTGGTCAATTTGAGTGATTGACACCTCGTTTGATTTGTTAGAGCCAATAGAATGACGCTATACCCACCAAAACGTGATTGTGGGGAGATGTCGGCTGCTGTGAATGGTCATTATTATGCTTACCCCTGGAACCTCTGGCCGTCAAATTTTCCGCCCGGATTCATTTGAACGACGGACAACATGTCGGTCAACGGGAATGAAGCGTGATTTAATGGCAGAATGAGCTTTTCATGGCAAAAACAACAAGGTAAGAGAGATATTACAAATATATTTTGGCAAAAAGATTTCTGTTGTTGTTGTTCTTTGGCCTCTAGCTCTCTGATGCTTTGGGGTAGAGTGCTTTGGCGCATATGTGCGGAAACAGCGGAGTCTCAGCTTTCATGTGAGATTAACAGCATGTGTTTTGAATAACGTGTGGTCGAGTTAGAGCCGGAAATATACCAAGTGGGTCGGGATATCGGTGCTGTCTGGAGTTGGATTTGTTGTTGTTTATTTAGTTGTTGTCTGAGCTATGTTTGGGGCATGTAAAAAGGGTTTATACAGCCTTGTAGCCCAGTTTCTGCTGTTTAATTTGATGTGCAACATCACTCTATTCTTAGTGATCAATGCATTGTTTCACACTGTGTTTGCAATGTCGCTCTCAAATTCCCTCAATTGGGGGACTTTCGGGCTTAATTAAGCAGTGCAGGTGGCGACTTTGGTCTAACTTATTGTGGCTATATGTGGTCTGTGCTGAGCACTTCAAACACATACACTCACCATAACTTCTTCTGACTCAGCTCTTGTACAGAGAAAGTTAAAACCATAGACTGTATATAAAGATGGACAACATGTCCCCTCGTACCCCACTGTGCAAGACTGAAGCCAAAATATCCAGTATATGGCCTCTGCCATCTTGGGCCGGTAACGTCACTTGGAGCCAAAGTCTGTGTAGAAGCGGGATCAAGTTCCTGCCCAAATACCTGTCCAACCTGTCATGAGCAGTTCCATTGAACACAAGCACACCAACTGGCACACATAGCCTGAAAAGCATTATATAACTAATTAAAACCCATCATCTTAAAAAAAAAAAAAAAAAAAAAAAAAACACTTGTTCTACAGTAATGTGCTCGAAATGACAGAAACCATCTTTAAGAAAGATTTCTTTATTGTTTAATTTGAGTCTTTAATTTGGCCCACCATCTACTACTTTGAGGTGCTTTGGCTTCAATTTTGGGAGCTGTCATGTGATCCATTTTATTATACAGTCAGTCTGTGGGTTCAACATTCAATATTCAATAGCAGTACTCTGATGAGCTGATTACCACGAAATAGGTTATAAGTACCCATAAAATAAAACCATAGGTTAAATTAACATATAATTCCACGAAATCACAGTTAATTTTTTTTTACATAAAGCACTACCCGAATAATATCTTACAAGCAGACTAATATTAAAATAAATCCTCCTTGACATAGACTCAACAGACTCACTGCTTGTTAGCTTGTGGACTGTACACTTTGAAGTTACACTACTTGCAGCATAACATAGTGCTGATGGTGGAGTTTTGACCACTTGTAGCACAACAGAGCAACAGTTTTTATGAAAAGGTCCCTGTTTTGCTTGTGATAGATAGATAGATAGATAGATAGATAGATTACAGAATAATTTTATCATCTTAATTTATTTATTTGTCTGTCTAGTGTCACTATATAAAATACATAGGCCTAGGTATTCATGGATTTTTGTGGGTTTACTGTTTAAAAAATAGTCACAATTCAGAATTGTCACAATAAGCAAAACCACATGACTTCCTATCTTTACATTGCTTAAGATTTAATATTTTGGAAGAATAATGAAGAATCAGCTGCTTTGGTCCCACCTGATACCAGCACATCCTGTTCTTGTAACATAAATTGCGTACAACGCCTAATACAAGAGCACTGGAAAAACTCAAAATCTCAGTATCTTTAGGCAACTGAACCTAGGCAACATAACACTTCTTGGCATACAAATGTATTTTTTCTAGGGTATTGAAGGCATGACCCGCCTACTCTGCCTTACTCTGCCTCTAATATGCATACCCTGACATTCTCACCCTAACCTGAATCAATGTCACTCCTCTCACCCTTATGTGGATATATATTCATGTGTCAGCTCTTTGCAGAGCCTACACTGTAGCCTGCATGTGTGGCCTTCACTGTTGTGAACATTTATACTTGTGCAGTGGTGTGTCTGTGTCACTCTGCAGTTACACTAAAACTTTCAAACACTAGTCGGCGGTGGGGTTTCTGTGTGTGCTGTGTTGTGCTGTAAAGTGCTGTAAAGTTTAGTTGATTCAAATGACACCCAAAACACACATTAAACATGACTTAATAGTGACAATTTCATATGAGTACACAAATTGGCTTTGTTGTAACTTGCAGGATTCACAGACAAAGCACTTGCCTTTTGCTAGATACATGTCCCTCACAAATACAACATGCTAATGTTATTAGCACAAACCTATGGCATTTTACATTGTATAAATTAGCCTGTTGACGAGCGAAGATTTCCTCTACTCGTATGAAGCCAGGATAAATCACACACAAGACTTTGCTATTTTATTTTATGCTGTGTTTGTCCTTCCAATATGTTGTTTCTTAACTGCGAAATAAATGTAAATACAAACTTTATTTCGACTGAGGGAAATGGTTTTCAGCTCACAAAAATAGACAAGAGGTCTGCAACACTGTGACGTGTAGTTACATGTATGGGTAGGTGCACGTCAGGCTACTGTAACCCGGGGGAAAAAACCCTTATTAATTTATCCCCTTTTCTTTCAAAACGTAAAATATTACGTGATGTCGTGCGTCATCATGTCACGCCGTTAAGCCGTCATGTGACAGAGCGGCAGGTAACGTAACTCAGTTGTGGCTTGCTGCCAGTGGTAGCAAGAGGAGCACGCTGGGGAAATGTTTGCTGCAGGTACGTCGTATCATCGCCCGTTTAATATAACATCAAAACATTCTGAAACTAAATGCAATGACTGTCGAAACATAGGAGCCGACTACCGGAGCCGCTGAGCGTCTGAATCAGAGCCGTATGCCGATTGAATCACGGAATTGGTGAGTCGAGCTAACGCTATTCATTTAAATGACGTTAGCTTAGCTTAGCCTAGCCGCTACCTGTTGATTGTTTGGTGTGGGTAATAGTATCTTATTTGCCTAGTTCTCTGAATGTGTCCTGCCACATGAAACGTTAAGCACTTTAAAGCTAGTCTTGGCGATACTGAAATTACTGTGATGAATATTTTAATATAACAAACATTGTTATTTATTCACATTGATTTATATATCATGATTTGATTATATTGTACAATATTGGAATTATTGAAATTGATATACTGCTATTTATTTAATGCAGTCTGTGTTATTTGGCTGTAGTATTTTTGCACACTGGATATTTAATTGGACCTGTTTTCCATACAGGCCAGGTTGATGGCGAGCTAAGAGTCTAGCCTGGGCACAAAGCCTGAAGACTGTGCAGGGAAGGAATCAACTGAACCACCACTGCTCTAGTCGGGCTGGTAGGAGGCTCTTTTGTGCAGCTGCTCCTCTTTCTAACTTTTGCCCCCTTGCAACTCACTAACGGCCCATACATCCACTACACACATTCACCTCCCAATACGGACCTTTTCCCCCTTCCATTGGACACTCAACCGTTGGGCCGTTGTACTGTGGTTGTGCTTTGCCATTACAGGCGAAGCTTGAACTCCCTTTCTGGGCAATTATGGATCATCTGTGCACTGCAAAGTCATTTAATGTCGAATGATAAAATGAACTGTATATATTGTGTTTTCCTATGAATGGCCATTAGTATTCTTATTCTATTCATTGCTGTTAATATTTAATGTGTTTATGGTTCACAATTATATGGTGTCGCTAAACCTAAACTGTGTTCAGTGTCTCACTCTCCACTCCTAGAGTCCAACCTAGCCCAAATAATAACTGTGTAGCTATCTGTTAGCACCTAAACTGTGCTTAATAGGGTAGCGTGCATGCTACACTACACAGCATCAATCAACATGGAAATTTAAATCCTGCTCTACACCTAACCAACCCAACCAATGAAACAATGAGTGCTAGCCAATCAGAAGCAGGGTAGGGTGGGTCATGCTTTTCCCATCCTAGGAAAAGAAATTTTGCTCCTGGTACTGCTGCACTGTTGCACAGCTTCCTTAAAATCAAAGGAAGTACATTATGGGGCATGCTCTCTGTATGGTTACTGCCTGTACTGTCTTATATTGACACTGTCTTTGCTATAATTTCATTGGGATAATGGACTGTGCAGAATACTTTCACTACATTTCCAATCCCAGGCTTATTCAATCATTTTGCCCTGTAACTCAGTTAGAAGAGATTTGTGGTATATCATCGTTATGTATCACTATCAATGGGATTAAATGTGCAAAAAGTGTAACAGGATGAACTGATCCAACAAGACACTGAGTGATGTTAATGTGGAAACTGTCTGATGAGGGGGAGGAAATTGAGCCTTAATACAAACATGAAACGGTTGATGTTCTTGAGAGTCGCTCCCGGACACAGGTGGAGGATGAACTTTCTCAGTTGTAAGCGCTGAGGCTGTAAATCCACAATCTTTTCTCCTTGTGACACCGAAGCCACTTCATGTGAAAGACGACACCACTGTCACCTCCTCCTCACACGCACTGACTATTGAACTGGCTGGTGGAAATGTCAGGCGATGCATGTTAACTGGCTGGCATTTCAATAAACAAAAGGTCTAAAGAGGATCGTGGTTCGTCATGTTTCACATCCTCAAAATGAGCTCTATGGCATGCGCCATCGCCACAGTATGTAATGAAATAATAATTGTAATTGCAGCGTGTAGGAAGTCCTCCACAACATCACTAATATGCTCTGTGTAACCACTGATAATGATATTCGTAATGATGATAATGTGTGTGAGCATACATTGAAGCGAAGGGTGTAATTTGTAGATGAGAGAATGTGTGGCATGGACTAAAAATGAAATGGATGATTCAGACTTACAATGAATCTAATTTTCATTGTTATATGAGAGGAGGCCGACGTTTCTTCCAGTCAGGTGGTTGAATCAGTTTATGTTTGATTCCTCTATGGAACCGAGCTATCTCCTCTCAACCAGGCACCTCTCTGCTGGTGTAATTTTCTGTCGGATTGTTTGACTAATTAAATTGGCCACGCTGTCTGTCGGCAGTGACAGACAAAGATCAAAGCCCTGAGGCTCAGAACATGGAGTGCAGACATAAAACTCCAACGTAAACTGACTTTTGGTGAGGATGTAGAGAAGTGAAAGGAGGCTGAGACAACTGGGACAAGTGGAAATTAAATTAAGGGGATGCTGCATTGGCGAGGCATTTTTTTGAAGTAGAATAAGGTGGGTACGACAGGGGTGATGTGACAGACATTTAATGATGCATCTCCCAACAACAGAGGGGAGATAAACTCAAATAGTCAGAATAAAAAAAAAAAAAAACACACACACACGGAACAATATTATAAGTGGCCTTCACAGGTGAAATTAATCACTATACTGTGGAAAAGTGAGAATAAATGAAACCGAGCACAAGAAAATAACAAGAATTCCTCGTGGATTTCCTGTATGACAGACAGATATCAGTGAGTCCAAAGAGTTTGATCACATGATCTGAGTGTAATCAAATCGCCTCTTGTGAAAACAGCTGAAGTAAAACAGACAAGGGGATAATGATAATGGAAAGACATGGAAGTGAGCATGATGATTATGAGAGGAGCCAAAGCAAGAAGCCATTAAAAACACAAACTGACCAGTATCCATGGAGACCTTCAACCTATCAAGTTCCAACAGTCATCAATCGTAATTTATGATGCAGGCCCAGACGCTTCCAGATGCCTCTCTCTCAGCTCTGCTAAATTTGTGCTATACTTAGGCTCTCAATGTCCATTTTGCAAGTGTTAGTGGTGCTTTTTGTGGTTGGCCTGGGCAGTGGTAGCATGTGGCTTCAGGTCACTCATCAGGATGAAGATATCAGCACAAATCAACTCACCAGTCTGTAAACTCTCCTTCTAATGACTTTGAGCTAGCTAGCTGCTAGTTAGCCAGGTTGAGGTTTACAGATGTAAACATCAAGGAAGATGGCGAAGAAATGGGCACCACCTGGACTAGCATTCTGCTAGACATTGTACAGGTATTGAAAAATAAATTGGACGACCATTAGTTTACCACTAGATATCACAGAGTGTAATATCCTTTAATTCTCCAAAACTTGGCTTAATCCTGGATAGCGTTATTTAACCAGAAGGCTCTTTTTCTATATGCCAATTTGACAGAGCAGAGGACTCTGGTGAGAGAAGGAAAGGAGACCTGTGCTTTACAGGGAATCATAACTGGTGTGGCGGTGGGACTGTGGGGTGCTGTCCCAGCCTGCCCTGCTGCAGATTATTGCGGATTATTATACAGTGTTCAGAGGTGACTGCAGAGTGGCGCTGCCGTATTCAGAGGGAATGACCATACAGCCATCTTGTTGAGGTCAGTATTTGCAGACAGTCAAATCATTCTACATGGATTACCAGAACCCTCCAGGAAACATGGACAGTTATATAAAGCAGCAGCCAACAATGTAAGAAGATGCAAAAACAAATTACAGTGCACAAGTTAAAGTAGCTGATGGGTTCACATTTCACTGGAGTTTTACCTTGTAAAATTCCATGTGACATATACATGATTGAATTAAATAGTAAACTATGATGATGAGCATTTTGCAGGTCTGGGTCCATCAGCATAGCAAATACACAAAAGCAGTAACTCTGTTTAAGGTCTGGGAATTGCCTTCATGGTTCAAGCAAACCTATGATGATTGTTGGCAGCAAGTGTAGGACTTAGTTTTAGAATTTAATTTATAATTTAATAAAAAAAAAAGGGGGGGGGGGGTCATGATTGCTAATTGGTTACTTGCATTATAAGTCTGACAAAAAACTTGAAAGTTGTGCTAAATTATTGTACTATTAATATACTACGTGCAAACAGTTTTAAAGTGACCATGTGACCATTTTCTACTGATATGAGACAAGGCTGCCCACGTCCCCTTTCCACTTTTTTGTTAGTTTTTATTTTTTATTGTGTTTTCAAAAAGGTCAGCACTTCACTTAAGCAAGACTGAAGAAGCTTAAGACCACAGCACATAAAGTCAGTCTTTACGCCGATGATATTACTTTTAATGGGCTGACACACAGGGCTGACACACACAGACAGAAAGACCATTCACGATGTAGAGTCACTGGTTAACCTAACCAGCATGTCTTCGGACTGTGGCAGGAAGCCGGAGAGCCCAGAAGAAACCCTCGGTGACAAATTCCACCAGAAGGACCCAAGCCGCGTTCAAACTCAGAACCCTCTTGCTGTGAGGCGACAAAATGCTACCCACTGCACCACCATGCTGCCCAGGTCTTAAACCCAATACTGTAAATTTTAAATTTCATTATGTAATTGAGGTTGTTTTTTTTTTTTTTAAATCGAAGGTATTCAAATTTAGCGCAAGTTCACTGACAAAATATACCCTAATGCTAAAGGCATCTTTAATCCAACAATATATCTATAAAAACTCAAATCACTCAATTACCTCACATGCAAACACACCCACCCACCCACACACACACACACACACACACACATGTCTCAAGAACATTCACCTTGAATAGAAGGAGCAGCATTGGGAAGTTGTTACGCAGAATAAAATAATCTCGCTTTCATTTCACACTCCAGTGAAGACGAGTAACTGATGCTCTGTGATCCCATTCTGGATGATGATGTGTCTGTCCAGCCTCAGGCTGCAGCGTAGCCGACTGCTGCTGCTGCTACTGTACGTGTCTCTGTGGGGCTTGTTCTAGCTGCAGGGGTGACTGTTACGGCAGCAGAAATGGGAGCTCCGCTGAGATGCATCTCAATGAGAACAGTGGAGGATGTTTTTCTCACTTTTTTACTGTATACCCTAACCAGGAGCTACATATTTACCTCTTCAATACCGAGCAATGTACGCTCCCTGCAGAACTACCCATTGAAATATTCATGACTGAAATTATCACCAGACAGAAAACCTTAAGCATATAAGACTCTCAGCTTGTCATAATGCATGATGACAGATTACTATCCAACTGCAGACAAATATTGTAAAAAGGTAGAGTTTTGATCAAGACTGTGGTGATGAAGAGGAGGATTTAGCTACTTTTTTAAATTATTAGAGGATAGAGGAAGTAAGTACAAAAAATGAAGAGAAAGCAAAGATGTATTTTAATGGCTGGTATATGGTCTGCATTGTGAGAAGATCCATGGAAAGTGCACACACATCATCTACGTCTTTGTTTGGCTTTTAAACACACCATTTCTTCAACACAGTGGCCAGTCCCAGAACACCAAAGCTGAGCTCCTTCACTGATGAAGCCGCCAATTTTTCTGGTTAAACTGGCTATGTTTGTTCCAGCAAAATTAGCCCCCTAATTATTTCTCCAAACAGTCATATTTGATTTTAATTTCTCAGTCTTGGATGAAGCCTGGTTGATATATAGATGGCTGCAAATTTAAGATAATTTATAGGATTATGATCATCAAAACTGTCAGTATGAAACTATTAAACATTTTGCTTTGAAGAAAATATTTTAAAGTCTTCCTTTGTCAAAGTAGAAATGTTGTGTTTAAACAAATTTGTTATTTTTCATCCAGTTTTCTTTTATTCTAGTTCCACCTAGATTCATTGCCATACTTTGCAGTATCTCTCGTTTAAATTTAAAAATACAAATATTTTCTGTGTATCTGTTTTATTTCTGTAACTTTCATTTCAAAGAATTATTACTATTATGACAATGTATACTGATTGTGTGTTTTTGTGTGATGCCAGCATGATGCAGTCAACTGTATGTCCTTTTGTGATGTTTTGTA